ATCATCTAGTTCCTTATTTATTTTAGCAAAAAAGTCCGATATTGCTTTTCCAATTGACCTTGATGTCCCTGTAATTAAAGTTACGTGGCCAATATAGATAGATTCAGGTTCCTCGATAAGCTATATGTGTTCTTCGACAACAGTTTTCTTCTTACTTTATTTTTGTCAACGGTTTTTGACGGATCTTCTGTGGTATTTATTTCTACATCTTTTAATACTGCACTAGCAATCGCAGCAGCTGATCGATCAGATATACCATATTTCTAGCATAGTTTGTTCTAATTGGAGTGTTTTTTGAGGTAGAGGGTCAAGCGAATTGATATTTTGAGGGGTCAGATTCTGACCCTGACAATAATGTATTAGTTTGATAGGAACAGCTGGGTCTTAATAAATTGGATTGCCTTTGTTTATTCGTCAATATTTTTTTTGTTTCTTTACGATCTACATTTCTTATGCTCATTTTTCTGACCGATCTTTGATCAGAAAGAACATTTTGTTCCTCAGTAGATTCTTTGGCATCTACGACTATGTTAAGTAATTTTTTATGACACTCTATTTTAAATGTCTTTTTAAAAAAACATTCGAGGGTTCAAATCGGTTGGGTTTCCAAATATAGGTCATTCCACTTTACTCTCAGTTAAACTACAATTTAAAACACTTATTTTTGTCTTGTTTTGTTTCTACCTATTTAAATAGATTACACTTTTAAGTGGTTTGACGGTTAGAAGATATAATGTTTAAAAAGTTGGTACTATTAATAAATAAGGATGGGAGTGGGATGTTAAAAAGAGTGTAAAATAAAGGGCGCTTTTATAGTGAAAAATAGTTGAGTTACATTTTACTAAAAATCGGAATTTCAATTTTGTTATGACAAAAATAAATGTCTTTGTCTATATACATTTTCTATTATAGTGGTAGAAGACTTTCTGATAGGGTGTTAGAGGACTTAAAATTTATTTCTAAATTTCGCAAAAAAATGCCTTTAATGGGTCTAGCTAATTAAAATTTTACATTTAATTTTATCTATTTTGGGGGCTGGTAGAGGGATCAAAATATAATTTTAAAATTGTGAAAAAATTACAAGCAGTTTTTATATTAAAACACAGCTTTTAAATGCAAATTCAAATTTTAACTTTCATTTTTTCGGACCAACCTACTGTACACATGGTTCAGAAATAAAACGGAGAAAGATATTTTAAAGTGTGTAAGGTGTTAATAATCGTCAAGCGCTTTCGACTGTTTAAGGCATCATCGGGACACTTACTCGTCAAAATTGTAAACATTATAAAGAAGAACATCAAATTAAAAAAGGTAAAGCACAAAAAATATCTAATCAACTAACAACCAAACGAACAGAAAATGCGTTACAAATTTAACATTTTTTGGAAAACCTCCTATTTGAGGGATGTCAGGAGCACAAGGACTACACCATTTTGTAGATTAAAAGTTGAATAAATTTTTTTTGAAAGATGTCTAAAACTGACAGTTGACAAGCTGTCAGGATGTTTGCCAACCTTTGGAAGGTTTTGTAAAATTTTTGAAGTTTGAAAGCAAGTTTAAAGTATTTATAAAAATTTTTTTTGGAAAAGAATAAGGTTTGATATGTTAAACAATTATAAATTGATTTTACGTTAATGTGTGAAAGCAAGAAAACAATATAAATAAAAAAGAGAAGCGAAGACTTAAAAATAAAGATATCAACGATCGTGGCAGTAAACAGTCACTTCACAAAAGAAGTAAATGTTGTTTTATCTACCATTCACCATAGTTAAGTAACCCTTGTGTTTTGTGTGAGGAGGTAAAACGTACGTTACCCTTGTTGTCGCTGCAACCAAAAATACCAATACCGCTGCTGGCAATATATTGTGAAAATTTAGGTAACTCCAGACCAGCCATTGCCTATATTTTTGAATAGAGAAGGAGACTTACTAAGGTATATCTGAGTGTTGAAATTTTGCTTTTTAAATTTCCTGTTAGTCTCCAGGTCTCCTAAAAGATCACATTTTAGATTGCAATTGAAAATATTGCCGAATTCTCTGAAGGAAATTGTTTATAAATAATTGTACATTCCACTAAACTATTGTACGACACTGTCTAGAGTTAATTCAGAAAAATTTTAAGGCCTAGAGTATGATAACAATATAGTAAAAAAGTATGCCAATGTTTTCTGTCAGTTTCAACAATAACGACAAAATTTGTAAACGAAATAAATAACTTTCGTAACATCTTATTCAGAACAATAACACGTTTTACGAAAGAAAATAAATTTATCGAAGCATAAAAATAAACATTGTTAAAGCATTTCGGATTGTTATTTATGTTTATTTAACAAACCCTATAATTTTTGCTTGTTCCTCTTCTTCTCATCGTTCGGTACGGTATAAGGTAAACAAAATTGAGTATAACACAAAGATTTATTGAAAAATAACAGTTTTGGCAATTAAATATTCTTAATAGTCGCACATAAAGTTTAGTATTTAAATTGTAGACTATTAAACTTTATAATGTTCTCGTTATCTAAATTGCAGTATAAATAATTGCCAAGGGAGATAACTTCGCATTATCTTGGAATTAGAAGAATAAATGGTAAACAAATTAGTCTATAATAAGGAATTGTAACATATTTTTATACATGATATAAAAAATAATGCCAAATTTATTTATTTTAAAATTGATTGAATCGATTCTAGAAAAATTGTAAACTTAGAACATCTATTTGTAGTCAGTTTTGTTGATATATCCAATTTGGCCCAATTCGATTTTACCGACTATTCAACATTTCAGTGAGAAACTGGCAGCTGATGGCTCTATTTCTAAATTGATTACATTTATACCACGTACCCATGTCTTTGATCTATTGGTGAAACTAAACTGCATTATTACTGCCTTTGAAAGATAGACACAAATAAAGTGGCCTACTGTCTGTAACAATATTGGGAATTTCTGTTATATATTTCAATGTATATTTCTAGAAAGTAATGTAGAACTTTATACGAATACAATGTTGAATTTCTTTTTATTGTTACATGTTTTTTTGTTTTATGTTTTGTCCTATCTCTTTATAAAACTACTTATGAGGTGACCCAGTACAAGTGATCTTGCGAAAATGAGGAAGAAGTTTTTAGTGATTTATCCAGGGTGTCATTAAAATACATGGAGATATTAAACAGATTATTATTTAGACTCTCAGGATATACAAAAATAATATATTATAATTTATATTAAATAAGGTATATGCCACTGAAGCTGATATATGAAAACTGTATCACCTAAGATTATTGACACCGAATACCCTGCTTGCTAAACTACTGATCTAACAGCGGTGGTACTCTTTCCGCATCTCTACTTGGGAAATGGCGCCGTCTCTAAATGTACTTAGTACGTTAACCAACGCATCAATCACATTAAACATGAAACGCGTAATATTATATTTGGTAGTTAGAGACAAATATAGTAACGCGGTTACACATCTACCGGTAGTGGGATAACATGTATTGTTTTATATTTCTCTCTCTATTCAATAGCATCGTTTATTTATGCCGTTTTCCTGGAGATGACATTTAAAAGTTAACGTACTATACAGGGTGTTTCAAAATGGTATGTTATAAATTCTTCCTTGAATAGTTTACCAAAAATAAGTGGATTTGGCTATATTTACCTGCCTATATCAAAAAATGGCTCTCAACAAAGTTACAGGGCGTTAAACTTACTTTGCGATTTTTTCTTTAAAATATTTGCCAGTGCTGTAGGTTTGAAGGCCCAATATTTTAAGGAGAAAAACAATTTAAAGCGACCCCCTTAACAAAAGTTAGGGGTTGGGTACCTTTGAACCCCCCCGTATTTTTTTTGACAAAGAAACTTGCTTTATCGATATTAAAATTAAAAAGAATTATAAATTTTGATTTTTTTTATAGTGAAATGAACTTTGTATCTCTCTTAGTTAACGAGCTATTTACAATTTTTAACTGAATTTCTAAAGCAATTCAGAAACTTTCGCAGTATTGATGATATCCCACCTTCTGACCGGAAAAATATTTAACTTTGCTAGAAAGTCATATGAATATATAAGATATTTTTAAAGAAAAAATAAAGGTCGAAAACCATATTGTTGGTGCACAAGAATAGTGGCACAACTTAAAAATTTCCATTTTCGATCTTATTGTGAAAATGTATAGCAAAATCCACATATTGTTATGTGGAAAAATAACATATTGCTACTAAATAAAAACATTATTTTTAACAGATGTAAGAATATAGTAAATAAATTACTATATTTTATGAAACAATTATATTTAAAATGTAAGGATCGTATTATAATATCAGACAGAACAGTTTCTTCCTGGTTCGTTTACCAATCAATGCGATATGCTTACGGTTATCCATTATCCCACCCTATGCATATATTCGTTGACATCAACAAGTCATCTTAATGTGTTTCGTTGAAATATCCTATAAATAAAGTCTTAAGTTTGTTGGAGTGTCGTAATTTTTATTATCAATATGATATAAAATTTATTTTCTGGAAGATCGTCAGAACTCAAAAAAGGAATTAAAATATAATATTTTTCGGTTTTCTCTTGATGTTATGAAAACAAAATTATTATTGTTTGAATAAAAAGTGAACACTTATGTTTAAAAAATGCAAGATCATGACAAGCCTCATAGGAAACAAGAAAATTTTAAATGGATGTCCTCTAAAATATCGATTTTAAGTTGTGTAACTATTCTTGTATACCAACAATATACCTTAGGTGTTGAGAAACTGTTTTCCCCTACAACTTTTTCCATTTTTGCAAAATTCCTATTCGTGTTCAGTACTCTCAAAAATATTATACAAGCCAATGAAAAATTCTTCCCCATTTTTGTAAGGTATGTGCACTATATGACTGGACTGATTTAGGTTTTGTCGTCATCTATCATTCAACAAGTGATAATTGTTTGGTAGATAGTTTAAAAAATTGTTTCAATAATAAAAAATAGAATTTCAAATAGGTACTTAC